CACATGATACTTGCTACAATATTAACCCGTCCTTGGAATACTCTTTAGAATTTGCTCGGCAAAGTTTCTACACAAAACAGGAGGAGACTGGATGCAAAATCTGTACGACAGTGACATTCAGACGGGTGATAGGAGTAATTGGTCCAGCGACCAGTAGGGAGACACTATATGTGGCTAGTGTGCTTGCTCTATTCAAAATGCCACAGGTAAACATGCATACTTTTGTATTAATGAAAAATTGAAGACAAACAGTGATAAATCTATACAAAAAAGCCCGCATACAATATAAATCTGTGAACGTGGCTTAATTACGGAACTAGGGAAATTCCAGAGATGGGATAGTATTTCTGGAAGGAGTTAACATCCCCTGTTGATCGGTCGAACCCGCTTTGAGACCTAACTATTGATCAGGTGGTCGAAATATTCCGTAGTCAAATAACATATAAAATTAAAGGTCTTTTAATTGGTATGGAAACGTCAGTAAAATAAGAACCAGTGCTAGGTTACATTCACTAACAAAGTCACTATAACGATCATATATCTAATGAACTGCTGATTTTAAATGAGGCTGTTGAATCCCTGTAACATCAACTTAAATGTAATTATCGACTCGCTATATCCCAGTGAACTTGAAATAAAAGACACCACAGAGTCTGCCACATCTGTTTCATATTTAGATATTGAACCGACTATAGACGACAAAGGCCTACCGGGGTACTAACAATTAAATTATATGACAAACGAGATGATTTTGATTTTTTTATCGTCAACTTTCTATTTTATTTAGTAATATTCTGCTTTCACCTGCAAATTTTGTTTATATCTCACAACTTATTCGCTTCTCAAGAGCATGTTCGGAGTACAAACAAATTCTAAACCGAGATAGCTACTCATACATAAGTTAATGTTACAAGGATTTCAACAATTTGGTTTAATGTCAGCATTTCGTAAAAGGCTATGGTCGATATAATGACCTTATCAGCAAATATAACCTATGACTGGATCGTATTTTGGCTGGATTATTTCATACCAATTGTTAGGCCTTCGTTTTTATGCTAAATTTGACTACGGAATGTTCTGTCTATTTGATCAATACATAGGACTCAAGGCGGTTGTGACTTGTCAAAAGGGGATGCTTACTCCTCCTGGGCACCTATTCCCATCTCTGGAATTTTCGGAGGTTCGTGTTTATGCCCTGTTTACAGAATTGTATTTTTTTTTTTAGGTCGATCGCTGTTCGTTATCTTCACTTTTTCACATATATGAAGATAGCCTTTCTCGATTAAAAAATGTTATCGTACTCAGAGTATGCTCTAGACTATCGAAGGAGTTGGAAGATGTTTACACCATATGCAGGTGACAGCGAATTATTACTATATACATAAGGAATATTGACGATGGAAAACTGAAGTCATTTCATTTTGCGTACAATTTAATTATATTTGGCACTAATCTTCTATAATCTGTAATATAAAACATCTAATTATGCAACAGATGTGGCAAACTCTATGATGCCTTTTATTTCGATTCACTGGGATATACTCAGTCGACATATGACTGTAAATAACTGTACTTAATTGAATAACGTCTTCAACATATTTGAATGCCACAACAAGTGATTCCCTCTTCTTATGTACAGGATCACTTAATATACCACAAGAATAATAGAGAGGTTGAGATCTTAAACTTGTACGCGTACGTGTACGTGTACATTTGCTTTAGTTTCGGTAATTTTTCCTTTGTTGAAATGTCAAGAACGTGTAAAATGAACGTGTACATTGCGATCGGTGTCTCTGTTTCAACTATTTAGTCGAACTGTGACTTTAGTTCGTAAATTAAACATGGTTAAAGTAAGTGCTCGTGAAACTAAACATCCTTAATAATGTTCAAAAATCACATTTTCACACATAAATTGACTAATTTTTATTATCAAAGCAATAAGTTTACAATTACGTGTAGATGCCACTCTACAAGTTGTAGGGACGTGTAGAAAACTTGTCATCACTAAAACCTATGACGTAATACGCGAGGAATTTAGGGAATTCCCCTCCTAGACGTACCCGTACATGTACACGTTTTAAATCAAAATTTTATACATGGGAAAAAGAAATCTCTTGCTGTGGCCTTCAACTCGACATTTAGATATATGGACGACGTATCATCAATTAACAATAGTTGTTTCCATTCATATGTCGACACGATATATCCCAGTGAGCTTGAAATAAAAGATACCACGGAGTCTGACACATCTGTTTCACATTTGGGTATTTAACTAGAAAATGACGTTAAAGATATACACGCTATGTGAACGCGTTTTTTCTGTGAAACAAAATTATTAAATGATTTAAGAAACATGATGTGTAATAAAAAGTAATACTTTCCACAAAGATTTACTAATTAAGTCGTTGTAATTACAAAACAATTAAGCAAGATCTGCAATTAAGAATTCAGCCTTTTCATGAATATTAATGAAGGAAGTGTGTAAACAGTATATAGACACGCATGTCCACGGGAAATCATAGACGACGAGGTACGTTGTATTTTGACTACAATTATAAATTAAAGATTAATATCTGTCATTGCAGAGTAGATGGTTAATACTAGTTGTTCCAAATGATAAGTATCTTTAAGTATTAGACGTGTGCCATCCATTTCAAAAGTTATTTGTATCCCAAACGGCCTACCTCGTTTTCTGGATGCCATTTTTGTTTATTGTTCTAAAAGTACCGACGGTGTCACATGATGCATGAATTTAAATAAAGAGGCATTACTTTTCTAGTAGGAAACTAAATAATTATAATTTGAGATCTTTACAGTATTTTCGTATCTTTATTTGGTAAACAACATAAATAAACTTCCAACTTTATTTTTGTCTGACGCAAGTTATAGCGTGTAAATCTTTAATGGTAATCTAACAACAAAGCTTTATGAAAAAACGTGATGACTAACTTCAATCGTCAACTTACCTTACTTATGCAGCAAACATTCCTCTATCACCTGCATATGGGGTTTATATCTCTCAGTTGACTCGATATTCCAGAGCATGCTCTACGTATGAACATTTTCTTAAACGAGGTAGGTTATTGACAAACAAGTTGATGAAACAAGAATATCAGCAGTTTCGTTTAAACGCATCATTTCGTAAGTTCTATGGTAGATACAATGACCTTGTCAGCAAATACAATCTAACATTAAGTCATATGCTGACTGACGTTTTTCATACTAATTGTTATGCCATTATTTACACACTGAAATGTCGACGGATTTTTCCGTTAATTACTGATCATGATAAGAAGCACAAGGCGGATGTGACCGGTCGGCAAGGGATGCTCACTCCTCCATGGCATCTGAATTCACCTCTGATGTTCTCGGAGGTCCATGTTTGCTCTGCTCCCGATTTGTATTGTTTTAATGGACTTTGAGCTTGAATTCTGTTCGATATCTCCATATTTCAAGTATATTACAAGTATTGTTGCCCATGAACTTTTTTGTGATGTGATAAAAAAAATCCATTATGTATTTTAATTGAAGTTTTTTTCTAATTATAACTTTGTTTGTCTAAAGAAATAATACAGATTTTATTGAATTAATAAAAGTAAATAACTGAAATGTTTTTAATATTTCAGATTAGTGCTACGCTACTTCTTCAATTCTTAATGACCGACAAAAGTACAAATATTTCAAGCGAACAGTACCATCGGACACTTATCAGGCCAAGGGAATCGTTCAGCTTCTCAGGTATGAGTATAAAAATTTAACTTGATGCTGTCATATGACAGAAATACCCAGACATGTTTTTGCCTCTTAATGTACTTCCCCTCTACCTGGAAATCAAGCTCAAAAGTCAATAAAAACGATAAAAATTGGGATCAGAGCAAACAAGGACGAAATAAAGTGTAGTATAAGTGTGTACTTCAATGGATTTTCCGAATCGATTTTTATTTAAGCTTGATGTTGCTTTAACCCATTTGATGTTATGATCTGTGCGTCATAAGGCAAAAAAAATGCTATATTGTTTGTTTATTAGAGCATATTTCTAATTTGAAACAAGATTTGAAAATTGGTTAAAATACATTTAAGAATTTAGAAAACATTTAATATGCCTAAACTCTCAGCACACTTTATGAGCAAATAACCTGGGGATGCAATGATAAAAAAATAGTCAGACTAATAAAATTTATTCATATTTTAATTCGAAAAACTACAACATAAAATCTATATATGAAGTCTTTTTCCAACATGAATTAGTGACATTTTAAGGAATATTGATAAGCAACATTTACTTCATGCAGTACAAATACGCATATGTATGTGAAAGAAACTATATTTAATGGTAGAATAAGATTTTTCCTATTTTAAAACAAATGTATTCCGGATATCCCGAGTTCATCTGTTCATTGCAATTCCATCTCATATGGGTTTTGACTGTTAAAACTCATCTGCCTTCTGTTTAAAAATTACCTTTCTTCTTTAGAGCAAATAGATGGGTAAATGTTAGCATTCTCTACGAAGAATCTAGTTATGGTACATATGGTTACAATGATATTAAAAGATTTGCACAAATCAACAAAATATGTATTGGATATGAGAAGAAAATCTCGGTGGATATGACAGAGTTAGGGATCAAGGAAGTTTTAACAGATCTAAGATCAACAAAGAACACAGAAGAATGTTCTTTTGATAATATATATATATATATATATATATATAGAGAGAGAGAGAGAGAGAGAGAGAGAGAGAGAGAGAGAGGAAGGGAGGGAGAGAGAAACTGAGAATAAGTAATTTTAAGTAATATAAATAAGGTTCAACCAACTTGATTCTAAATCGTAGACCCGATTTTGTGAAAAAAGCCTTGCATTTTCAGAGATAAACATTAAAACTTTAAAATAGTGGTAGTTCTGTTTATGCTGTATCAGAATGCAAACAAAATTATTCAACGAATCCATGACATGCGCATTGAAGGCTTTATCTGGATCGGAAGTGACGGATTAATCGGGCTTGATCCTCCGGTTGGACTAGAATATGTCATGGAAGGAGCTATCGGATTAACCCTCCAAATTTCTGAATATCCAGGATATATGCAATACGTCAATAAGTGAGATGATATGATTGTTTTTCTCTCGTAAAAATTATTGATTTTCAAAACTTTGGACAATCTATAATAATATCATACATGTACTACATTAATCTCATTATCTTGATAACAGCCAAACTACAGAAACTAATCCGAATCCATGGTATTCAGAATTCCTCCATCAATATTACCCAAACTGCACAGCCGGAAACTGTGAGCGAATTAATAACACTGGTAAATAACATAAATATCAATAAGTATATATTATGAAAGAAATATTATTATTATTATTATTATTATTATTATTATTATTATCTCCCTCATGCATAGCTCTGATCCTTGGACGTATTGGCTCCAGTCTTTCACACTTCCTTTCTTCAGTTCTTTAAATTTTTTTTAATGAACTATTTCGGATTTCCAAAGTTTCGGCATTAGCCTCACTGGAGAAACATAGTTTGTCGAAATGCGCATCTGGTGCTTCGAAACTGGTACCGTATACGATTTACATTATTGAATTTAATGTAGCTAAATATAAATAAAATAACTGAAAAGGGCTTAAACTTTAGAATAAATATTAAAGAACTCAGCATTTCACTACCGATTAATTAAGAAATTAAATAACATAGATATTTAAAAATAATTTTAAAATTTGATCCTACAGTATCCATTACATGTCAACATTTTTGATCAAAACATGGTACTGAACAATTGAATAGCTTAACGAATTGATAGACCCCACTCAATATATACAAGAAAAGAATACTAACAACTATGTAAAGAAAAGGTGAAAGATCAAACATTATTTTAAAAAGACTAGTCGTTTGTTTGTTTGTTAGTTTAGTTAGTTAGTTTGTTGTTGTTTTCTTTTTCTTTTTTTTTTTTTTTTTTTTTTTTTTTTTTTTAGATCCCTTTTGAGAATATTTTAATCATATAAAGACGCAATAACATACCGTTGGAGTGCTGCAAATTTTACACCTTTACTCGGCACTGAAAGCCTTTGATCAGTGTGGGATCTTTTTTCGTGTTAGCAACCATTGCTTATTATGTCGCAATAGGTGCTAACACGAAGAAAGATCCCACATAGATCAATGGTCCCCAGTGCCGAGTAAAGGTGTAAAAGTCGGTTTGTACGGTCTTATCTGAAAAACCGGGATCCATGTCCCGCAGTGAGTTTCGAACCCGCAATGTACAGAGCCAGCGTTTACTCTGCAGCTCAAGTGCAAACGCTATAACCACTGCTCCAGGCGGGCAACAAGATGAGTTGTCAGCAAAAACAATCTATCATTAAGTCATATACTGACTGACTTTTTTCATACTAATTGTTATGCCATTATTTACACATTGAATTGTCGACGGATTTTTCCTATATTTACCGATCATGACAATGAGCACACGGCGGGTGTGACCTGTTGGCAGGGGAAGCTCATTCCTCCAGGGCAACTTATCCCACCTCTGATGTTTCTGGAGGTCCGTGTTTGTTCTGCTCCCGATTTGTATTGTTTTAATGGACTTTGAGCTTCAATACTGTTCGTTATCTCCATATTTCATTGTAAGACACTTCTTAGAGTTCGTTCGTGTCTCAAAGCTGCCATGAAACTGCTTCAGAGTGCGCTTACATCGAAATAGAGATTCCCGTTTGATCTGATTTATATACTTTCTAGACTACATGAAAAGGGTGAAGATAACAAAAAATGACCGATCTAAAAATGATTTGAAAGTAATGCCAATCTGTAAACATGGCATTAAACACGTATTCCTGAAAATTCCAGAGGTAGGATCAAGTACTTAAGAGGAGTAAGCATCCAATGTTGACCGTTCTCGTCCGTCGTGTCCCTAAGAATTGAACAGGTAGACGAAGCACTCTGTAGTCAAATTTAGAGTGAAAACAAAGGCCTAATAACTGGAATCAATCAAGTAATATGAATCAACATTTCTGATGCAGTTCGCAGCTTTGAATATAAATTAGGATTTCAAAAATACAAAATTAGATAACCAATCAACAATCACAGGTAAACACTTTTTATGTTATCACAAATACTAGGAATGCATGTGTGCGTATGCTCTCTTTCAACAAAACCCTTTCAACTATTTTCCTAACTTTCAGCGTTTTAATTTGGCAATTTACTGCTCTTTCAAAAAGAAATAATTCTTACTGCTTATACTTCTCAGGTATCCCGTATATCATCAGCGTCCGGGATGCTGTTTACGAATTTGGAAATGCCATTCTAAACATTCATTCAGATATGTGTCTGAATGAAACTGGTGTACGTAAAGAAATTAAAGAAAAGTTAACAGGAGATCTGTTGTTAGAATATCTCTAGAAAAACAATAGTAAGAACACAAATTGAAGATAATAACTTGAAGTTTAAGAATGTAGAAAAATCAACACTATGATAAATATCAGAGATATCACATTTTAAGAAAAATAATGCATTTAATTTTAATAACAGTTCCTTCCAACACTTCATTCCATTTCGTTGATGGTGTTGAAGGACCACCTAGATACAGTATCCAACAGTACATAAGAAAAGGCAACCACTTTGAATGGACTGAAATAGTAAAACGTATAACATCTATAATTTCACATTTTATTTGAATAATTAAATAATAAAATGCTTTCATTGGTTGTTAGTACGAAAATTAACATTGCAGCTGTTGCAGAAAAAATACACAACCCGCGTTAGCGAGTTATATAATTTTTTTCTGCAATAGCTGCAACGTTAATTTCCGCACTAACAATAAAAGAAAGACTTTTTATTGTTTATATTTATATATGTACAAATAATCACTTAAAGTAGGAATTAGTGGATGAAATATTGTATTATTGATATGTAGGTCATTGTACGTTTCATTGATGGAACAACCACTGCTCAAGTAATTTTTTTTAAAAGTGATATGCTTAGCGTTGTTTGCTGGCTAATAAATGACGATGGTTTTCTTAAGAAATAAAGGAGATAATTTTCACTGGATGAAATATATGAAAATAACGAACAGTATTCAGGCTCAAAAGTCCATCAAACAATACAAAATAGGAGCAGAGCAAACACGGACCTCCAAACATCAGAGGTGGGATAAGTTGCCATGGAGGAGTGAGCATGCCCTGCCGACTGGTCACACCCGCCTTGTGCTCCTTGTCATGATCGGGAAATAAAGGAAAAATCCGTCGACAATTCGGTGTGTAAATAATGGCCTAACAATTTGTATGAAAAACGTCAGTCAGCATTTGACTCAATGACAAATTGTATTTGCTGACAAGGTCATTGTATCGACCATAGAACTTACGAAATGATGACTGATATTCTTGTTTCATCAACTTGTTTGTCAATAATTTACCTCGTTTTAGAAATTGTACATACGTAGAGCATTCTCTTGCGTATCGAATCAACTGAGAGATATATACCCCGTATGCAGGTGATGAGGTATATTGCTGCATAAATAAGGGAAGTTGACGATTGAAAAGCTAAATTCATCACGTTTATCACGATGTAAATATATTATAATTAAGCTTCCAAGAAGAAATTTAGAAATATATTTTCTTGATTCAGGACTTAAAAATACCATCTGAAAATGACATTTTCACTATTAAAGAAGTTGTAAGAGAAGAATTGGAACTCGAAACTGTCATGTCGCAGGCGGCGTGTTCTGTGGAATGTCTTACTGGCTACATTAAAAGAAAAACAGAAATCTGTTGTTGGGACTGTACACCTTGTCCTTTGGGAACTGTCACTAATTTGTCAGACCCATACAGCTGTACAGACTGCTCACACGGATATACACCTAATTTAGACAGAAATGAATGCATGCAAAGTCCGATTTCCCATTTTTCATATGTAATTCCATTCTCTGTTGCTATTCTCGTATTGTGTGTTTGGGGTTTTGTTTTATGCATTGTTGTTTCTGCTGTATTCGTGCAAAAAAGAAATACGCCTATACTAAAAGCCACTGGTTTCGAAACCAGCATGGTAATGCTTTCTAGTATTCTTATGTCATACACATCACCATTTATTTTACTTAGTTTCCCTTCATCTCTGACATGTTCATTATCTCGATTATTTATCGACATGAGTTATACTATGGCCTACTCCTCTGTTCTTTCTAAGCTTATTGTTTATAAGAGAGCGTTCGATGTGAGATCTGGTATCAAACAGCAAGCAGTTAAAGGACAGCAATTACCAATACAGTACATCTGTACAATGATGACGGCTTTGCTACTTTCTCTTGCACTGTCAGCTGTTCAGCTTCTTGCAAGCATATTCTGGTTAATAATTGATATTTCAGAACATAAGATAACGTATGATCCAACAACAAATCCTCTATCCGGACATCGTACGTGTAAAGACTCTAACAATTTTAATTATTTTGTTTTACTCCTCTGGCACTTTCTGCTGATGATTGCATGCCTCGTCCTCACCATCAAGACAAAGAATCTCCCGGAAGGTATGAACGATTCTCGTGAAATCATGTACTGCTCCTTCCCTTCCTTTGTCACTTGGTTAGCATTTGTACCTCTGTATAATTTCTCCACAACTATTGCTGCACGAGTTATCTCTCTTTGTGTTTCATTGTTCATTCATGCAACAGTTTTTCTCAGTTGTCTTTTTTTGACAAAGATTTAAATTGTGGTCTTTAGACCAGAGAAAAACAACAAAGATCATGTGATGAGAGGTACAGCTGCCGGTTCTAGCAAGACTCATAACACATATAGTGGAATGCATGAAAACAATTGTCCTCAGACGAAAACAATAGAACAGGATTCACATTCTTACAATTTCACTGTAGAAGTATCACGTTATGGTAAGTTTTGTTGATATTTGATATTTTTACGGCTTTAAAGTTTTTAATCTAAATTGAATAATCTTTTACAATATTGGTTAGTTTCTAAGTATCGTGATTTTTCATATGCTTTTGTTTTATAAATACATAAAATCAGAATTATATATAAGTCTTTGTTACTTTTATTTTCTTACAGATAAGTTAGAACATGGTTATGACGTCATCCTATCAACAAATAAAATGTGTACATCAAACTTAAAAACGAGGTATATGACACAAATAAGATAAATGAGATTGATGAAGTTGTTAAGATTATCGAAAACCCACTTTACAACTCTGATGCATAGAGTTCTGTATTCGTGAAATAATGTAACAATATCCCAATTCCAGCTCTCTTCACCCATTAGTTTTATCCCATTTTTGATTACATAATGAGTTGGACGGTGATGCCATCGTGTTATAAGAGATGTACATGGACAGGAAAGTGAGTGATTTTGGATTTCAAATTAAATTCCAGATTTTATTGAGATAAGAGAAATATCTTTTGACCTCTCTGATGTATAAAAAATGCATATTGTACCTGTTGTACATTTCAGATAACAAATATTATATATTGTTTTTACATCGTTTTAATTTTCAATTGAAATTTAATAAGAATACTTGAACAGTTTTGATATTTTTTGGTGAAGGGATAATTATTAGCTTATGGAAAAAAAAATCTCTCGTTACTGTAAGTACTATTGAATTTTTGGAAATCGTTCAAGTACCGGAACGTTTCATCTTCAGTTTTTAATAAACCCTCTATATTTCAATAGAGAATTTAGAAGTGTGTTACAAATATCTTCGTACAAGTATACAGATGTAGAGGTATTTTTTTACGGCAGATTGGTAAAACTTTTGTATGTTTTACACTTTAGTCGCCCGACTAAAGTGTGATATTGTATTAGAATGATCCTGCAAAGACTGCTTACTGTGATATCATGCTTATAAAATGGAACTTCACTTCACGTTTTGTGATACTTTAATCATCTTATTGGCGTTTTCATTCTGAAATAACTCATGGAGTATAGTTACTGTGAAATCACTGATGTGCATGGGGGTTACTTTTCGTTGCTTTCGTGGTATGAAGAAACCCAAGTATACAAAAAGTAAATTTCAAATGTATATTTATTCAACACTTTGTCTACTACAAATTCAGATTAAAAGAAAAAAATTTCTCATATCACAAAAATTTGGACCCTCAAAAATATGTGACTCTACATTATTTTTGTTCTGATGTGATTAAAGATTCGAATATCTACGTCAATTTTACATAAATCTAGATTGAATACCCGTTTTAGCCAATTTACTGATTTTTTTCCAATATATATTTTCTATAACTGTTATATAAAACCCGATTTGTCGTATTCGATTCAACATTTCTCTTAAATTCATATCAGTGTTTCCTTTAGAGGCCCATTAATAATTCACATGATTGTCAGTTGTATTTTCTTATCACATGTATTGTATTGTATTACTTGTGTTGCTGTGTTTAAATTTCTGCTTACAAAATATATCTTCCGTGAACGTGTTATTTGTAAGATACATTTTCATCAGTTTCCGAGTGACAAAAATATTTGTTTAGAGTTTCTTATCGTTAATTTTTGTATTTTTTAGTTACGTAGTGTTTTAGTCTATGGAAATATAATTAACTTTTGCTATTTTATAGATAAAAAGGTTTTTTATCTTATCATCTTGCCGTTTTTTACGTTCATTTTGCCTACAGGGTTTAAATCAGCAAATAAAATTAAGGAAAATTTACAGGGTTTTTTTTTTTTGTTATCATTCACATGAAATAAAGTAGTTTTATTTGTTCATGTATAATCAAAAATAATATCTCAACATGAAGATGGAAATGAAAGGATTCGTGATGCAAGTTACTTTTCATTTCTTAACATTTTGGTCGGTATTCTGTAAGAAAACTGAAGGAACATGCCTACATATTTCTGGGAATTTTATTTTGGGTGGACTCTTTCGTAGTTCTTGAAACATTGAAATCATAATTTAATTTCATAATTTCACGATTGATTTTATGTTGTTTTACGTCCCGATCGGAATTTTTTTACTCATATGGAAACGTCGATCACCATAAACCCTTGAAGGGCTCTAAAGAGCTTTAGACCTTTACTCGGCACTCAAGGCAATTGAGCAGTGAGGGATCTTTATTGCACCAGCGCCTACCGTGACAAAAGGCCTCGGTTTTAAGGTCTTATCAGAAGGATCCGCAGCTTTCACTTCAAAGTGCCGAGCGCTTAGCGAAGAAACAGTTGCAACCTTCTTTTTTTCGATTTAGGTCAGTCGCGTCCGTGATTCGAACACACAGCCTTCCGATCACGGAGCGAGCGCTCTACATATTGAGCTACTGTGACGGCTTTATTTTCATGAATTATGGAGATAACGAACAGTATTCAAATATTTAATTTAACTCTGGATGTTTTTTGTCTACTGGTTTTAATTAAAATATCAGAATTTTGTTCTTTTGTTTTTTTTCTATAAAAAATCTATGCTTTA